GTTTTTCTCTTTTTCTTATTATTTTGTTTCAGCGTGGATAATCATGTTACTCATGTTCTCGTTTCGATTTCTACTTCATCTGTTAGTTATAAAGCGTATCAATGAGAATAAAGATATCAAAATCTTCTGAACGATGTCTAAAGATGGGCACCGTCGCATGGCATTGTTTTTATAAGTGCTCAAAATCAGAGGTCGTCCTCAAGTAATGAACCTGGAGTAGTACGTCGCAGTTAAGAAGTGAGGCTGCCAAAAATATATGAGCTGCAGTGGATTAGACTTTACCAGATGTACGATAGCTTAATGATCCCAACGCAGAGTACTGAGTATCAAAAGACATGATACTCACTCTCTCAGCGGGGTGATCGAATGGGTTCACTTTCGCCGGATGGCATATGGAGCTGTTTTACGCTCTTTTCATATGTATGCAATATATCTCGATTTTCTCCTGAAAAAAAAGTGAGGCAGAACTTGTTTTCTAGCTTGACAATCTGCACTAAACAATGCTCTTTTTCTAACAATCTGTTTCTACTACATGAAACGGTGAAGATCCGCACATTCGAATAATTATTAGGGAAGGAAGAGATTGGGAAGCACTTTTAAATGGTAAGTCATGCCTAGAGACTCGGTGTACAGCAGCAAAAATTCGGTATGCGTTTAAGAAAGTCTGTGAGTTCTCCAAAGTGCCGCTCTAAGGATTATAGGAGGAGGTACATGCTGTTAAGATGACATGCGAAAATCACTTTATACAAGTGATTTCACTGCTGGATATTTATCGTTCACCAGAAACTTCGGAATCGCCAAAAAAAACGAGGTGTCCCATTACTTTTGTATTACTTCAATACTTAGGTAAATTCTCCTGGAGTCAAACCTTAAAGGGACAAGTTTGCGAGAATTAGTGCTTTTTCTTGTAAAGCCTGCTTTCTATTCAAATGATGCCCTACACACTTTTTCTCGGGTCTACCGTAAATGCAATGCGACATTGTTTTCCAAACAACACAATGAAGTACCTACACATCATTTTGAAGATTACTTCATTCACTCCGTATCATTCGCTATAAATTCAGTAAACAACCTCCTTCTGATCTTTACATCATGCTCTCTTGTGTTCTAGTGCTTTTGCATAGAAGATTATGTGCCTTTTTTTCAATAAAAATACTCGCTGCCTGCATCTCATTATAGCATCTCGAAATAAAGTTTTAGATGAAAAGATGGCTCAATCAGATTTGCACAGTAGTATACCAAAATGAAGTTTGATAGGTTTGAACGGATCAAAAATTAAAAGTAGGAACTGCAAGGTGCGGAGCCCCAAACAAAGTGCTGCGAAAACTCCCTTGTTTCAGCATTTCCGCAGCATTTCGCAGGGTTTACGCAGGTGACCCTGCAGAAACTATGCAAAAGTTCTGCAAAAGTTCTGTTCACTTGTCCGAGTTGTAGCGAAGTTACTGGATTTAAATGTGGAACCAAAGCAGCTGGCCTACATCATAGACATCATAAACTTCAAGAGGAATTTTCCTTTCTCTATCAGAAAGGCTGACTTTCGCACTTCAGCCGCTCCATATTAAGTAGTTGATGTTCCCTAACTATGGATCATAATATGTCTATGACTTTCTATCTACTTTGTCGTACAGAGTTCAGCAGGCTGCTTTTGGTGTAAAACGAAATAAGAAAAGATCTTCCGCTGGTACGAATGGATTAGTCCATTCACTCGGTGTTCTTTTTTTTTGAACTAGTTTGAAGGTAATACGCTTCTTAAGATTCCCAAGCCATGAATTACTACTGACTCCGTTAATTCTTTTTAGTCCTGCTCTACCTGTTAGAGGTGTATCTTAATAACCTTTTCTTTCTGAATATTTTTGGTCGGTATTTTCCGCAGCACAAGAGAATGCTTTCAATGAGCAATCAAATGAATAAACGAGTTGCGGAAGACACTACAAGTCGTGCTAGTTAGATATGATTTATCCAAAGCGTCAAAGAAATCAAAAGCGAGTACAAATGTGACATTAAACACAAAATTTTTCATTTATTAGGATTATCAGAAAATTATCTCAATGCGAGGTAAACGAGTAACTCTTGTTGATTAACAATCAAAGGTCCTAGATTACGGTCCGATACGTCAAAATCAGACTTATGACATGAAGAAGTTATATGTACAGTATTATTAGCAACACGCTTAGCTATATCACCAGAAATGAAGCTTTAAATATCACTTTACTTTGAAGGGGTTTTTGTCTTGGATTGACGATATATCAAAATGAGAAATTATTTACGTATACAACCCAAATCGTTTGTTCGCAAATTATCCGTTCTTCTTATTTCCTTCGCGTCGTCCTCCACCGCCGCCACCACCGCCGCCTCGTCCTCCGCCGCCACCGCCTCGTCCTCCACCACCGCCGCCTCGTCCACCACCGCCACCACCTCCTCCACGTCCTCCACAGCCTCCTCCACGGTTACCTCCTCCACCTCCGCCACCTCCTCCTCTTCCGCCACCGCCACCTTGTCCGCCTCCACCTCCACCAAATCCGCCTCCTCCTCGTGGGCCTCCACCTCCTCCTCCACCAAATTTGAGCTCCAAAGATCGTCTAAGAGAGAAAAAAATTGTAACAAAAAGAGAAACTTTGCTAGTGAGGAATTTATTGTCTTTGGCATAAGATACTTCATCGTAAACCTTGACTCACGAGTTACGTTAAACATGCCGTAAGCTGCATACCCAAACATCATAAATGCAATTACACCATCCAAATTGCTTCATAAAATTATAGAGAAATACTTTTCGACTTTTGCATGCCTAAAAGCCCCCACTCATAAAAATTCACTGTTTTTGAAATTTTTTGGCAGATGAGTCACCATTTTGCAATGAAAAAATTTGGTATTTCGTTTGTTTGCAAATCCAAGCTGAAGCCGGCCTTATATGTCTCCTGAAGTTTCGCTAAAGCTCTTCGTACAAGGAAGTTATGAACGATTAAACGTTCAATGCATTTCTTGGACTCCTTGTATTTCACCTCCCTTCTGCAACACTAATATTATTGAGTGTTAGAATAGCCAATGTGTTTGGGAAGTGTGCTGCATATAATACATCACATAAGTAAGGTACCTTTTCATATTCACTGGAAGAAAACGCTTCAATTGCTTATAGTGTCAGATCAGAGGCCTGAAACTATGGTTTGAAGTGTGAAGTTTGCCAGTTCCATTTGGACTGTGCAATGGTACCGAGCAACCGTCGTAGAATAGTGCAATAATGCAGATTAACAAACGAAATCGTCATTTGCTGTTTGCTGCAACTTTTTTGGTCGAAGGGCCAGAGTGATTAACCATGCTTCTGTACAGTTTAGTCTAATAACATTCAAAAGGCTTTTTGTTGCTGTCTTCTCACAAAATGCTTTTTCATGAGAAACTTCTAAAGCTTTTGGAATTTCAAACATGGACCTTAAATAACATGCTGAATATAAATACAGTACTTACTGCATAGCTTAAGTCTTGAATGTTTCTATAAAAGCTCCTATATTTCATAGAGCTTTACATATTTTTGAATGCAGAGAAATATTGAATTGCTCGTGACCGGGAGACGTGGAAAACCCTAAGCAGGCCTCTCCGTTGAGTAGATATCATGATGATTAACAGCTGTCCAATCATTTCATCGACCTACCTGTTCCAGCACTGATTGAGTAAAAGTCTTTTCCGTTTGACGTAAATCAATTGTGAGATCGTGCACTTACCGAAAATTGCCACCGCAAAAAAAGCAGTGGCCATCTTCCGCGTATTGATTTGATTCTCGATGTAAATGTTTTGAAGTTAATGTTACAACTTATTCCATTCAGAGTGCTTTACTTGAAAACCGCCTCTCTGTCCTTGTTACGCTTTAGGCACTCCCCAAACCCAGGCTGAATCTCTTATCAGCGTTACCTGCTGCGAGTGGATCGATGGATTTTAAGAAACTGACGCTTTCTGCATGAATATGTACGAAATGAATGGAAGCGGTGAAGTTGAGCGGGTCCTTTAATATAAGGCCTGTGCGTTTCTATTCTCGCCAAACTCAGTCTTGCTAAAATTATGAAAATTATTTCGAAAGTCAGAACATACTCAAATAAAACAATCTTAATCGTGATATTCCTACGTTAATGTTATGAGGTGACTGAATGAGCTAAGGGATGGCATTTCCGTAAAAAGCCTATGGCCTCCACCTGGCCAGGTAAGTATTATATTTAGACTTAAAGGCAGTATCCATGCAAATCTGGACCTATGGGGATTTTTGGAAAATATTTTGGGGCCTAACTAAGGCACTGCCCAAGCGACTCACTAACGGCTGAGATATACACCACATATCATGGCGCAAACCATCGGTTTCACGTGGGTCCTCCAGTATCTTTCCTAATAAGTTTGCAGATTATCAAGCTGTTCTACATCATTTTGGCCGCCTTTTATCACTGCCGTTTTTTTCTTCACTGACTTTATACGTTGGGCCGAAATGAATGCATTTTAAAATTTTACACACTGTTGTAGTGCGCCAAATAGGTTTCGAGTCGGGCAAACAATTTTATACAACAAAGCATCAAAGATTCAAAAGCGAATAGAATGTGTGACTTATAACACACAATTCCCTCAGATTTATCCGGCAACACCTTTGTCAGCGCGAGGTACAGGAGTAGCTTATGTCAAACAGCACTCCAAACACCTAGGTTAAGTTGTATATAATACATCAACATGAGATTCTTGGCATGAGTTGTATGTAGAGTACAATTAGCAACAAGTGTAGCTGTATAGCAGAAATGAGGATTGGTATCACGAACTAAGTTGGCGTGTGTCTTGATTGAACGATTATAATCAAAAAGAAAAAGCATTTACGTAAACACTTCAGAACTCTTGCTCTTGCACTATCTCTTGTTCCTTCCTCCGCGCCGTCCACCGCCACCTCCACCTCGTCCACCGCCACCTCCACCTCGTCCACCGCCACCTCCACCTCGTCCACCGCCTCCTCCACGTCCTCCACCACCCCCTTCACCATCACCTCCTCCTCCTCTTCCGCCACCGCCACCTCGACCGCCTCCTCCTCTTCCTATTGGGGGACCAAGGAAACCTGGTCCTAAGGGTCCAAAACCAGGTCTAGCCAAGAATGGTACTGGAAAGAAGGGACGTGGAGGAGGTGGGGGTATCCATCCCCATTGTGCTGATGTGATTGCTATATAGAGTGAAAGGAAGAAGGTAATGAGAAGAAATCGCATCCTAAAAATTTATAGCTGGTAAAGAAAAATGTTCATTTGTGCGAGAGCGTACCTGGAGGAATCAATTTATGAATGTTTTCCTATACGCTGTTCCAAAAAACGTAGGTAAACCTGTGAAAATATGACGTTTTATTATTCAAACGAATGTACACAGATGATTTAGAATGACGCAAACTTTCGATCCAATGAGGATTAATGAGAGTTTCTGCACGGAATGAGTCCATTTTAATGCCCTCAAATTGATCGGAGAGGTTTGAAAATGTCTAACGGATTATGAAGTTATAATCTGCAGCATGTGAAAAAGTGTGCGATGAAGTAGAGTCCAAACCTACCCATGTAATGCAATCTTGAAACGCACACGAAAAATCATGGAAATCAATGACGGCCCCGTTTGGTTTCAAGGTTAGGTATATATACATTCCTTTTTACGTGTCTTCGCTGAACAATCACGTAGACTACAAATTGCAGCACTTCCCGATTTGCTTTTTCTTCCATTTTGAGTGGTTTTCAACGAATTTCGACTTCGTAGAACAGGGTGCAGCGCTGTTATCCAGTTCCTACGTGCAACTTAGAATTCAAAATGATTAGTATTGGGTTGGAAAGAAAAGAATGCCGCTTTTTATCTCATTCTTATAATACCGCATCAAATTGAACCTCGAAGATAAGGGGTACCGTTCGATAGAGCAAAGCAGGATCTAAAAGGTTGCATTCATACTTTTGCACCTAGTTTAATTCACATGAAGTTTGTAGCCAGAATCTGAAATGTATCAAGAAAAGAAAACATGAGAAAATGAAAATTTGCATATTTTGGTCAAAGCTGTACTGGGCTGTTCCTACATGGTTATTGAAAGTTTTTGTGAGTCTCCATGCAATCCCAGCCTTCCATGAGCTTTATGCAGAACATCAGATTTAGCATAACTATAATTCTAGCAAAATCCAGCTGTGCTTGCTAATATCTGCATGCCCGAAAACCGTCAAATAAATGGAAAAAACACAAAAATCATACTATATATAAAACGCAAGCACCCCCATCTGACGTCATCGCTCGCGCCAGAGGTGTAAACAAGCGACCATCGTTTTGTGCCAGTGCGAGCGTACCGAGCTGATGATCACAATGGTAGTGATGCCTGTCTTAGACGATGTTGATCAAGTGGCATCACCCAAAAAGTGCAATCACAATGTTGATCAAGTGGCATAACCCAAGAAGCCACTAGACAAGCTAACTTTCGTATAGTTCGAATCGTTTATATGTGAGCAACTCAATTTCGGCTGAATTGGAACAGTTTGGTTCACAGTTTCTCTTAAATCTTTATATTCCTTCAATATTACTACAATAGATTCCAAAAAATGCAAAACTCCATAAACCAGAAAGCTACACATTCTTTTATTCCACAATAACTTTGCAAGAAACACCTTTTTATAATGATTTCCAAATATTCAAGTTGAGAACCTCTGATGGATTCCCACAGGTAACTGGATCGATTCCGTTTTAATCCTTTAAGCAAAAACTCTTTTAAAACTTCCATCATGATTAGCATTTTTCATTCCCAACAAGTGCCGCCGAAATTGTTATTAGCAGATCTATTTTGTCTTAATTCACATTTCAAGCTTCTCTTTCCCTACTATGGAGTGTTTAATTTGAAGTGCACCGTTAGTTTTTCAGAAAAAGTCATATATTTCAGAAAAAAGTCGCAGTCACCAATATTTCATTCCTCGAGCGCCAAATTTGTTTCCTCATTCTAGGATTGCGCCAAATCTTTATTCAATAGAGCTAGTCTGCAATCTAATTTCTCTGCTAACTTACCTCAGCAAGAAAGTCCAAGTTTTCCAAATTTCTTCATGAAATGCTTCACAAATGTTTTTTTCTCAAACAAACTGCACTATATCTCTTTTGGAAATTTCTCGCAAACATTTCTATTTACTTTGGACAAATCTCTGCCTGTGATTTTTTTTCGAATAAGCGCTTCTGTTGAAATGCCCATGTCATTCAAAAAATTGTCAGGAATTTTAGCAGAATAGTTGCAGTCTTTAGTGTTTCAACTGTTTTACTTCTCACAATCGTCGGATCTGATCTGCTCACTATTAGCAATTTACTCTGTGTTTCTTTTAGCGGTAATTCAAGCACAGTTTAGATCGCGCAACATTTTGTTGGACCGGGCATCGCGTTGTCTTTCCCTAGAAAACAGTGCTGATTCTGTGCAAGAGATCAGTGAATGATATGAACTCTCAAATCGGATGTTTAGCATCTCTGAAATTTGTGACATGCCATTCAAGAGGTAATCACAAACGTCATTCATTTTGCAGACGTCTACTACTAGACCCTGCCAAAGAGTGCATTTTAGTCCATCATATTTTACTGTGGGCCTCAAATAACTGAAGAACTTAAAAAGCTTTTCATACATTTTGCATGCTTTTGGAATGTTTTTGTGAGTATTTTTCCTATGGTCAGTGTATGAGATTTCTCCTACCAAAGTTCTAATGCACTTTGGAAGCTGTAAACAGTCTATCCGAAATCCTAGCTATTTATGCGTCATATGTTCTTCAAATGTTAATTTTGCACAACCTCAGAATTGTATAAGTAGCGTTTGAGCAGGTACCTTCAAGAATTTGAATCAGTAGCTTGCTAAAGATAAGATGACCTGAAAACTGAGTCGAATTTGGAGCCTATAGATGAATTGCAAGGATGCTGGACTTGAAAAGTCTTTAGAAAATGCAAACGAAAGATTTAACAGTAATTCTTGAAATGAAAGAGGAATTGTGACGCTTCCAAGAAAAATTATTTTGTCAAGAAAAAGAGGTAACGTTTGAATTTGGAAAATTTTAGATTTAGAATGTTGGCTAAATATTCTCAAGGAGTCAACTTAAATTTTCTTGCTATTTTGATTTCGAAAAGAGATGAGTAGTCTCAAAGCTTTTGGGGGAGGGGGGAGGGGGTGGAGGTTCTAAGGCAGCTTGAGGGGAGGAGGGGAGCACTCACTGTAGAAAACATGGCCCCGGGAAGAGTTGAGAGGGGGGAGGCAAATCCTCAAAGAGCTCAGATAGCAAAACGCTATACAAAATTCGATCTTAAAGCAAAGGACGGAGCGGTGCGGCTAGAAGAAGCTGGGAGAGAGCAGTCATGATAGGTTTGCTACGAATTTTCAAAAGTTCCAAGTTTTAGTCACATCCTTCACACACAGCCAGTCCAAAGCGCCGCGAAGCGGCGCTTTGGACTGGTCAAGAATAAGTCGCTTTCGGATATTTTATGCTAAATTCAATGTTTTTCAAAAACTAAAGCTCATGGAAGGGCTGGGAAACTACGGTTGTACTTACAATACACCATAGATCTGTTTATGTAGGAACAGACCTCCATAACTTTGACCAAAACAAGCAAATTTTTATTCTATAAATTCTAGTAGGAAAAATGTAAAAACTGTGCATATGAACGTCTGTTTGGGTAATCATATGCTCGAGCACGTTAGAGGTCCTATTTACGCCTCTGACAATGAGGAGGACGAAAGGCGTTGAAACGTTAGGGCTTGATTGGAATAAAGAGCACCTATCAAACCTGTCTGGCACAGCAGTACTGAAGAATATTACGTCTGTTTCCTAAGGATGTAGGATTTTCTTGGACATAGATCCGATTTATTATTATTAGGCATTCAGAATATCTGAGACTCTAGTTACAAGGTTGTGAATCAGACTTAGTGCAAAAGTATGGATGCTATCTCATAGAGTTTGCTTTGCTCCATCTTAAAGTACTTCTCATGCATTCTCAATGTTCACCTCATTGCGGTAATGTGAAAAGATAGTAGAAAAGCAACAGTATTCCTTTCCTCTAATATAATCACAACACCGTTCGTTGCCTTTTCTTTTTATCCCCACTAACGCCACTTTCCATGTCCAGTGCACAAAACTCAATAATGTTAATAATCATAAAAATAGAAACAAGGAGTGGTTAAATGACATGCCGCATTCATACGAAGTACCCATTCTACGAACGATTTATTGTGAAATATTGAAAGTAAAAGCTAGCTAGTTTGCCGAAGGTCTCTTTATTGAGTATACATCATCCAAATCTTGCTTCTTTTCATTTCATTCTATGACGGTGGATTAGTCCTGAACACAAACCAGATAAACATTTTACCACATCAGTTCAAGTGCATTCCCAGTAAGACTCTGAAAAGGTAAGAGTATGCTTCGTAACATTACAAATCATTGATTGTTCAGTGCTGAGAAGAGCCCAAAAATTTCGAAAAAAACAGTTAAGCAGTGTTGCTTTGAAATAACCGAGTAAACCTTCGAACAGTATCCGAGCCGAACAAGGATCAAACTAATCCGATGAGTTAAGAATCTCTTGGCAAGATGAAGGTCGCTTGCAAAGCTTCAATTTTCTCTCTTGTTGTTCATTCATTCTGCTTACCTATCTGTCTCAGCAGTGACTATGCAGCGAATTCTTTTTCTTTTTGTTAAAGTAACCAATGATAAAACCGTGTACTTCCAAGTAAAGCAGAGATTAGTTTCTCTGCTAAGGAAAAGTGGTGGCAGTCATTTCCAGCGTAGGGATCTTTTCCCGATGCAAATGGTTTGAAGTTTGTCATTTTTATTCTGGGGCAGTAAAGTCAGAACAATTCCTTTATTTTTCAGAAACTCTCAACCATCCGATCCGTCAACAGCATTGTCTTGCAAGCGAATGGATAGGTTTCAGCAAGGAACAGTGATTCCGTTTTGCAATCACAAACTTGCTATCCTGATGCGAAATTTCGTTTGGGTTTTATTGCAAATTCAGGCAAGAACAAGCTCGTACAAATAGTAGCCTCTTCATCAATACAACATTACTTGTAAAATTCTAATTGTTCTAATTCTGTGCACATACATGGTATGATTGAGCTGGAGGGAATGAAGTCATCCTTCCAAAACCCTGCTATTGGAAATTGTCAGTTCCCACATATTCAACAGCATCAGGGCCGCCAGATCGAGTAGATCGAGATTTTGTTGGCGGAAAGAAGGTCCGATTTGACCCATTCTCGCAGGTTATAAACGGGGACAGGGAACATTCTGAGAGAGCGCGAAGCAGCGCTCAAAGGCAGGCCGGCAAATCCTCGACGTTTGGTTTTTCCGCTTACCTGGGTA